ACCAGTCATTCCCAGTCCTTCTGCTGTCAGGGTCAGTTTGCATATTACCCTTTTACTATATAGGATAGAGGCCTGGTGCACGGGTGGGGGCTGGCTGGTTTGCCCTGATGGGTGTCCCGGATCAGGGTGTGGGTCCCGCTTGGGTGCCTTGCTAGCCTGGATGAGGGGCTGATGGCTGTTTGCAGCTGGTCACACCCCCTTCAGGGTGGGGCTCCCCACTGGGGTGCCTGGCCAGTCTGGGTGAGGGGCTCAGGGCCATTTTCAGGCTGGCAGGTGACTGAAGCTCCCAACCTCTCCTTTTTTTCTTTTTTTTTTAATTCTGGGATTTATTTACCTTCTATAGCTGTCACTGGAGCTGAGAGCTGGCTCCAGCTCTGAGGCTGTGGCTGGCTGAAAGCAGGTATCTGGGTTTGTTTAGCTTCTATAATTGAAACTCTGTTGCCATCACTGGTGCTCTAAGCTCTGAGCCCGCTGGCGGCTGAAAGCAGGTTTCTGGTTTTGTTTAGCTCAGCCGTGGGCAAACTACGGCCCGCGGGCTGGATCCGGCCCATTTGAAATGAATAAAACTAAAAAACCAAAAGACCGTACCCTTTTATGTAATGATGTTTACTTTGAATTTATATTAGTTCACACAAACACTCCATCCATGCTTTTGTTCCGGCCCTCCGGTCCAGTTTAAGAACCCATTGTGGCCCTCGAGTCAAAAAGTTTGCCCACCCCTGGTTTAGCTTCTACAATTGCAACATTGTTGCATCTGGAGCTCAGAGCTGGGCTACGGCAGGTGGGGAACCTTGGCTTCCTCCGTCACTGAAGCAAGCAAGCCTCATGTTCTCTTCAGCTGCGTGGATGCCGGCCACCATCTTGGCTGGCAGTTAATTTGCATATCTCGCTGATTAGCCAATGGGAAGGGTAGCGAAGTTATGGTTAATTACCATATTTTTCTATTATTAGATAGGACTAGAGGCCCAGTGCACAAAAATTTGTGCACTCTGGTGGCATGAGGGGTCCGTCAGCCGGGCCTGTGCACTCTCGCAGTCTGGGACCCCTCGGGGGATGACCACCTGCTGGCTTAGGCCCGCTCCCCGGGGGATTGGGCCTAAGATGGCAATCTGACATCCCTCTGGCAGCCCGGCAGCCCTCGGGGGATGTCCACTTGCCAGCAGGGAGCAGGCCTAAACTGCAGTTGGACATCCTTAGTGCTGTTGAGGAAGCAGGAGAGGCTCCCACCACCACCGCTGTACTGGCAGCCATCAGCCTGGCTTGTGGCTGAGCAGAGCTCCTCCCATGTGAGAGCGCCCTCACCACCAGAGGGCAGCTCCTGCATTGAGCGTCTGCCCCCTGGTGGTCAGTGTGTGTCATAGTGACCAGTCATTCCCAGTCCTTCTGCTGTTAGGGTCAGTTTGCATATTACCCTTTTACTATATAGGACAGAGGCCTGGTGCACGGGTGGGGGCTGGCTGGTTTGCCCTGATGGGTGTCCCAGATCAGGGTGGGGGTCCCACGTGGGTGCCTGGCCAGCCTGGATGTGGGGCTGATGGCTGTTTGCAGCTGGTCACACCCCCTTCAGGGTGGGGGTCCTCACTGGGGTGCCTGGCCAGTCTGGGTGAGGGGCTCAGGGCCGTTTTCAGGCTGGCAGGTGACTGAAGCTCCCAACCTCTCCTTTTTTTCTTTTTCATTTTTTAATTCTGGGATTTATTTACCTTCTGTGGCTGTCACTGGAACTGAGAGGCGGCTTTAACTCTGAGGCTCGGCTCCAGCTCTGAGACCTTGGCTGCTGAAAGCAGGTATATGGGTTTGTTTGAGTTCTATAATTGAAACACTGTTGCAACTCCATCTCTGAGCCCAGATGGCTGAAAGCAGGTTTCTGGAGTTTGTTTAGCTTCTATAATTGCAACATTGTTTCTTCGACTGCATCTCCGAGGCCGGCAGCAGCAGGCGGGGATCCTCGGATTCCTCCATCATTGGAGCAACCACGCCTCCTGTTCGCTTCAGCTGCCTGGCTGCCGGCCGCCATCTTGGTTGGCAGTTAATTTGCATATCGCCCTTATTAGCCAATGGGAAGGGTTGCGAAGTTACAGTTAATTACCATGTTTGTCTATTATTAGATAGGATAATTAAGCAACAAACTACTTCCTTGAAGACTGAGTTTGTGAGAGCTCTCCTTTTCTTCCAGTAAAAGCTTCTCAATGAAGTAATATATACACTTTTAGGGTTTTTTATATTTTTTTAAAGGGAAACTAATTATTTTAATTGACAGCAATAGGGTTACACTAGCTCCTGTGAATGATTTGTTTAAAATTTGTTCTTTGTTTATAGGTCAGTAGCCCAGGTTTGATCTTGAGAAACATTTTATCACAACTAAAAGTCAATATCTAAAAGAAGTCAACAGCTAAATGTCAACATCGAAAAGAAACAGACCGATCCTTGACTCACGATTGTTGGTTGCTTCATATCTGGCTTCACTGAATTCAAGACATTGCCCCTTAGAATTCCTTTCTTTGCCTTCTCAGGGAAGCAATGGCAATTAAGGAATGATTACACTTTATGATTTAGGCCCCTTGGAAGGGAGTAAAGTCTGGTTTTAAGCATGAGAACAGAAACTTTCCAAGGAAGCTTTAAACGGAAAGGAAAGATAGCATCCTATTGGGTTCCACCAATCTGCCCCTTTGCCCACATATGAAGTGTCCTCCCACCTATCTTAAGGGAGTTCCTTGAGGATCCCACCCAGCCAGGCTACTTTGTGTTCAAAATATGACTGACATGGCTACTGCCAGACAGAACAACACAGGTTGTATTCTTTACACATGCAGAAATCACAATTCCTATCAATATCCTTTATAACTGGTTCTTCCATGTATTGAACTTTATAATTCAGATCTTGAATTTTTTTCCTGACTGAAGCACTCAAAGATTGTTGTGTTTCTTGTATTAGATAAGACCTCCAAGATACAATAACTTTTTAATCCGTCATCTTTAACATCAGACTTTTACTTCTATTTTAATAAACTTGTATCCATGCATCTTGGAAGATTGTCCATTTTCTTCATTTTCAGATTATTGAGATACAATAGTCATAATTATTAATATTATCTCTGTATACTTTGAGTACAGTGCCTTGACCTGGAAGAGGGAGGAGGGAAATGAAGAAACTTGGCATTAGCTTTACACATTAAAACAAATTTTATCCTCTTCTCTTTCTTTTCATTTCTTCCTTTCTTCTCAGCTCAGGGCCAGGGACAGATGGAGATCAGTGGAGGAATTGCGTGAGGGTGGATGTTTAGAATAATTCAGGTCAGTGGGGGAAAAGTAGGAATAAGCAATTAGCATTACTCAATCCAAATCTTTCTGTTGGTGGTTTTCCCCACTTCAAATTCTTCTTGCATGCTTTATTTTCAATGACTATTCTATACATTTTAATAGGTTGATATTTAAAAATTAAATTCATAATTTCACATTTGTCATATTTTAAAATCTGTATTTGCAGCTTTTTCAACCTTATGGTTTCAATCTGACTGATCCTTATTGTCGACTTTTGGAAAACCAATATAATAGTCTCCATGATCCACATTTAAGAGCATATCATTCACGCAAAGATATCTAGAAGAGATTAAAGGAAGGAGGCTACACCACCAGCAGTAACGAAGTGGGTTGAAGATTACTTCATTTTAATCATTGAGGATTTCCAAGACTTGATATAAGCTTGCTCCTATACCTCACTGGGGTAGGGATGGTTTTCACCTTTAACTTGGTCATGAGAGATACTTAATGGGAAATTCTATAAATTACTTAGTATTTTGGGTCAAGGGAAATCAGAAGACAGTTGTTTCTAAATGATGCTACTTCTTCCATTTTGTTTTTATTTGTAATATCAAAAGGTGATGATAAAATAATTTGAAGATATAATTTCCCAACTGTATCATAGTTCTCTTTCTCTGTCTCCAATGGTTCTGTATGCTTGTCAAGGATTATGTCTTATGAAATTTAAAAAATTTGAGACAAAATAGCAACATAGCAAAATTAGCCTGATAGAATCTTTTTTATATATAATCTAGTTTTTTTTTTCTATTGATTTCAGGGAGGATGGGAGAGGGAGAGAGATAGAAACATCAATGATGAGAGAGAATAATCAATCAGCTGCCTCTCACATGCCCCCCACTGGGGATCAAGCCTACAACTCAGGCATGTGCCCTGACCAGGAATTGAACCATGACCTCCTGGTTCATGGATTGACACTCAACCACTGAGCAACACTGGTGGGGTGATAGAATCTTAATAGAACATAAGGATAGTCTTATATTCTAACTAGAGGCCCATTGCACGAAGAGATTTGTGCAAAACCTGGCTGCCAGCACCGGTTTTCCTCCGGCACCCGGGACCCAGGCCTTTGCTCCGGCTGCAGTGGAGAAGCCAAGCCTGGAGGCTTCTCCACTCCAACCGCAGCAGAGAAGGCAAGCCTCAAGGCTTCTCCGCTCCAGCCACAGCAGAGAAGCCAAGCCTCTTCAGTCTTCAGTTGTCTTCAGTCTTCAGTTGTCTTCAATCTTCGCTCTGGCGGAGCCTTCAGTCTTAGCTCTGCACCTGCATATGCAAATTAGCTGCCATCTTTATTGGGTTAATTTGCATGCTCATCCTGATTGGCTGGTGGATGTAGCGGAGTGACACCAATTTGCATGTTTCTCTCTTATTAGTGTAGATTTGTGTTGGATATTATTATTGCATTGGTATTTTATTCTAATAACTTCAATTGTGTGTACTAAATTTATAAGTCATATTTTTTTTAAGTAATGAATTTGGGTAGAAATTTCCTGTTGGTCAACAATTGTAGAGAGATACTTATGTTGCTTAACAATTATAGAGATACTACTTACAAAGTTATTAGCAATTTATTACTTGATACCAAAATGTTATCAAATTTTATATTATTACTATTTTCCTCCTGAAAGTGATTGCTATGATTTTTAAATGTTTGTATTTATATTTTTTGTTATTGTTTTGTTTTTTAGGTTGCATGTAACTTGAGAGAATTTAATAGGTACAGGCCATATCTTAACAAGTCTAAAGTTAAACTTCAAAAGAAAACTACATAAAAGAACACGTAAGTTAAATACTTAATTTGTTTTCCTACATAGGGTTTGGAAGAAAGGTTTACTTGTATGACAAGTACTTTCTTAAAATATTTTTACCTCTAATTTTGACAGACTAATTAAATATTTTTTCCAAATGAAAATTTAAAACAGGAATAAAGAATAATTTGAGGTTGCATTATTTGGCCAAGAGAAGGAAAGGGACCAGGTCATCTATTAATATGTCAGTGGTAAATGGCGTAATTTAGTAATTCAGTTGCTACTCCAATGTGTTCCTTCTATCAGAGCTGGGGCCAATATAAAGAGTCTATTGTGGCAGCACAATTCTTTTTTTTTTTTTAATATATTTTATTGATTTTTTACAGAGAGGAAGGGAGAGAGATAGAGAGTTAGAAACACTGATGAGAGAGAAACATCGATCAGCCGCCTCCTGCACATCTCCCACTGGAGATGTGCCCGCAACCCAGGTACATGCCTCCGACCGGAATCGAACCTGGGACCTTTCAGTCCGCAGGCCAACGCTCTATCCACTGAGCCAAACCGGTTTCGGCGACAGCACAATTCTTAAGCTGGAACCAAAACCAGCCGGTGTGACAGGAGGGGAACAGTGAGCACAGTTATAATGTCCTGTGGGTGATTCAAGAACATGCACACTGCGTGTTTGCACCCACACACATACAGCTATGTTCAGCCAGTAAAAAATCCTATATAATAAAAGCCTAATATGCTAAGGATCCACTTGTTCATTCGACCGGTCACTATGACGCTCACTGACCACCAGGGGGCAGACACTCCAACCAGTAGGTTAGCTTGCTGCTGTGGTCTGGCCAATCAGGACTGGGCGAGACAGGCCAGACATGCCCTAGAGCCCTCCTGTGGTCCCTCCCTGGCCCTGATTGTGCACTGGTGGGGTCCCTTGGCCTAGCCTGTGCCTTCTCACAACCCAGGACCCCTCAGAGGATGTCTGAGAGCAGGTTTTGGCCCGATCCCCACAGGCCAGCCCAAGGAACCCCACTGGTGCACGCGTATCCCAGGCCTCTAGTTATATGATAAAGGTAAAGTGAATAATTAGGTGTAGAGTGAGTGGGTATAAATAGTGATATCCTTTAATTTTATTATTTTTAAAAAATAGTTTTGATTTTTTTTTTTAGAGAGAGAGGGAGGGAGAAAAGAGAAAGACTGATGTGAGGGCGAAACATCACATCAATCAGCTGCCTCCTGCATGCCCCCTAATGGGGTTCAAGCCCATGCCGGGCAGGTGCCCTGGCAGAGAATTAATCCAGCAACCTCTCAGTTCATGGGACAACACACAACCAACTCAGCCACACTGGCCAGGCTCCTTTCAATTTTTGACTCGAAGTTAGTGAGTGAGTGGATTTGATTTTAGAATCAAGAGGATTGAATAAACATTAGAAAGGTATGCATATGTGTTCTTTTACAAATGTACGTTCTAAGGTAAGAGAGTAGTATAGAAATGAGAATAACTTTCCTATACCTTTATGTGTTCTATATCATCCCCCATTTTCCCCTCTGTATCTAGAGCTTCTGCCCTTCTTCCATATTTTCATTTTTTGTTTGTTTTTAGAATGGATGGAAATGTATGATGAGATATTTATCTTTCCTTTTCAGAGAGAGAAATTTTTACTTTGGTTCAGTTACCCATGTCTGTAATGGATTCAAAAATAGATTTAAATGCAGTTAAACAGAATTAGTTATTTATAAAGTACAGGAATTTTACTAAACACTAAATATAAAAAGGTATGTCAAAGAACAGTTTTATTTCTGTAAATCTTAAAAACACTTCCTATTTACATATACACATATACATATATATATGCATATATATGAAACACACTTTTTAAAAATAGAAATTGCTTGCAAAACAAGTAAATAAACTACAAGGAAACAATCAATTACCTGGATTTTCTGATGCTGCACAGTTCCAAAATTGGTTGTTATGGGAAGACACCCAATCTTTTAAGGACCAGGAGCAATTAATAAGGCCCAGGTGAAATTGAAGTTAATGCATATTTTATGTATAGGTTGTGAACTCAAATACATTGGAAAAATTCAAGAAAGAATTGGAGTTAGGAATTTTTTTATTGTACTAGACACTAACTCCACTACTGCCCTCAGTATAGAGAGGAAGGGAGAGACCAAGAGGTACAGAAATTGGGAACTTAGATGGCAAGGGAAGGAAGAGCAATGTCCACCAGGCTTCCTGGGAGTCCCAGAGGTAATCCAAACTGATAACTAAAGGAAGAATCAGATCCAAAATCCTTCATATAATTGGAAATGGAGGAAAAGAATCTTTTAGCACATGCTTTTTATGATTCATCTTTAATGGTTGACAGCATCAAATTTGAGGAAGTTATTAGTGCAAAGTCAAAAATAGATGTCTGATTAAACTATCTAATGCCAGTATAAATATGCATTGTCCCTAAGTGAAAATGTGTACCTCTTCAAATATTACCTCTTCGTGGTCAACCATTACCATTCTGCGGTCAAGCGCACATATTAGGAAGTGAAGGGACATTATAGTTTTTTCCTCCTCCTCTCTCCTCCTCCTTTAAGGTGAGGGATTGGGCTGCACAGCCTAACTTTTATATTCTCTGGGTTCATTTTGTGGTAATTCCGTAAGCATATTGACATACCAAAACCTGGACTATAGATGGAAGATTTGTTCAAGGCTCTGTAAGTCACAGGGGACCCAGGATACATCTTTTTCTTAGAAAATTCAAATCTGTTTTGTTTTTTCCTAGATGTGAAATCAATTTTCAATATCCCAGCCTTCTTTGAAAACTTATCCCTAAACCCACTGAATTATGAATATTACTGTGCGAAATGTTTTTAATGAGCCTGCCCCACATTTTACCATTGTCTTGGCCATAAGAACATGGTAGAGAGAGCTGTCTAACAAAACATGGTGAGAGCTGGCTTACAAATCCATGAACAGAGCTGATAGAAAAACTGTAAAATTCCTGTAGTTCAAGAAATAAAAAGTGAGTAAGGAGGTGGTTTGGGCATATCAAAGCAGCTGATGTCACTATAATGGGTACACCCAATTAACCTTCATTTGCATTTGTACTTTTATTTAGATACTAGAGGCCGGTGCACGACATTTGTGCACTGTAGAGGGGTCCCTCAGCCCAGCCTGCACCCTCTCACAGTCCGGGACTCCTTAGGGTATGTGGTGAGCAGGCCTAAGCCAGCAGTTGAACATCCCCCAAGGGGTCCTTAGCGCTGCCGTGGAGGCGGGAGAGACTCCCGCCACAACCACTGCACTCACCAGCCGTGAGCCCGGCTTCTGGCTGAGTGGTGCTCCCCCTGTGGGAGTGCACTGATCACCAGGGGGCAGCTCCTGCATTGAACGTCTGCTCCCTGGTGGTCAATGCGCATCATAGCAACTGGTCGTTCCGCCATTTGTTCAATTTGCGTGTTAGGGTTTTATGATGTAGGATTTGGATAAGTAGGAAATGAGAACAATGTGAGCGCGGAGCAGAAGAGCAGCACTGCCTCTGGATGGACAGAGAGGAAAGAAGACAGTGGGAACAAACAAGAAGAAAACTTAGTCTTAGAAAAATTGAAAAGGTGAGAGATACATTTAAAATATTAGGAGAAAAGGTGTGTTCAGTGCGTTATTCATAAATAATTGTAGCTGTCAGGCTTCTTGAAGTCATTTCAGGTCTATTTAATGTACCCACATTAATCTTTCTTCACAGCAATCATTTATAAGTTGTTACATAAGATAATGAGGCTGATACCACAAACTATGTATGTGAGCCAATATCTGCTGTTACAGAGATGATTGTGGAAGTTACTAGTTTAACTCCCCTGTAGCCCTAAGTGTGAGGAAGATACTTTTTAAAATTTAGCTTTAGGAAAAAATAAAAAAATAAATAACCACGCCTTCATTCCCAGTAGGAGTGCAGGAAGGAAAGAAGCCCATTCGAAAACCAGTGTTTGACTTTCACTACACTTGACCTGATTTCTGTTAGATTCTTGACTTGTAATTTACTTGTTGGTTGTGGACAGAAGCAGAGGGAAGAGAGTGACAAGAAGGTAGAGTTAACTTTCACCTCTAATCTGGGCTGTTAACAGGAGAAGCTTTTGCTAGTTTTGATTTTTGAAAGTACCCTGTACAAGATGACAGTGGGTCAGTTCCCCCAAATGATATACAATGTACAAAACTGAAAGTTATGGACATTTTTTGTCCATACTACCCAAAGCAATCTATAAATTCAACGCACTTCCCATTAAAATACCAACGGCATACTTCAGAGATCTAGAACGAACTCTCCAAAAATTCATCTGGAATAAAAAAAGACCCCGAATAGCTGCAGCAATCCTAAAAAAGACCAAAGTAGGTGGGATCTCAATACCAGATATCAAGTTGTATTACAAAGCCACTGTTCTCAAAACTGCCTGGTACTGGCACAAGAATAGGCATATAGATCAATGGAATAGAATAGAGAGCCTAGAAATCAGCCCGAACCAATATGCTCAATTAATATTTGACAAAGGAGGCAAGAACATACAATGGAGCCAAGATAGTCTCTTCAATAAATGGTGTTGGGAAAATTGGACAGATATATGCAATAAAATGAAACTAGACCACCAACTTACACCATACACAAAAATAAACTCAAAATGGATAAAGGACTTAAATGTATGACAGGAAACCATAAAAATTCTAGAAGAAGCCAAAGGCAACAAAATCTCAGACATATGCCGAAGCAATTTCTTCACTGATACAGCTCCTAGGGCACTTGAAACGAAAGAGAAAATGAACAAATGGGACTACATCAAAATAAAAAGCTTCTGCACAGCAAAAGAAACCATCAACAAAACAACGAGAAAACCCACTGTGTGGGAAAACATATTTGCCAATGTCATATCTGATAAGGGCCTAATCTCCAAAATTTATAGGGAACTCATACAACTTAACAAAAGGAAGATAAACAATCCAATCAAAAAATGGGCAAAGGACCTAAATAGACACCTTTCAAAA